TGTAGTTTATTTCTAAGCTGTTCTGGTTCTTCTTTTGCTGATCTCCAGTAGCTGTAGAAACTGTTGATAAATGCAATAAGCTCTGTATCCCAAGCATCTTTATTTTGGGGGGCATTTGTTAGGTGATTTTTGAATTTGAAGGTGATTCCTGGGTATAGCAAAGAAACAGAGATATGACCAATGCCCTTACTCTGGAATAGGATCTAGATTCTAAAGTGATAATTAAACTAGATCGTGCATCACTTGCTTTTGTCCTGTAGGTATGTTGAACTGCTGCAATGGGTCAGAGGTCATATAGTAGTATGGTTCTCATGGACATGGTTTCTTCAGAGACTTCAACTGGATTTCTTGCGAGTTAGCTACCCTAATTATTAGCATGCTCTCTGGAGAAAAATCCTTGGGTCTACTTTCTTTGTTGTGGAAATGCCATGCTTGTAGGGATTGTGTTCTTTGTTTAGGGAGTGTCCATGTGTGTCTGTATGTGCACACACATATATGAGAGGGAGGGAGAGAGAGAGATTGAATTTCCTTATGACCAGATTTTCCTCCTTTCTTCTCCCCTCCTTCTTGCCAGAAGCTATCAGTCTGCTTTGAAAATTCATTAAAAGTTCTATGGGCAGATTAAGGACATGGATAGATTTAAAATAGATCTGCAATAACCACAAAAGGACAGATATGTTAGTAGGATACAAATGGACACTGGTCCAAATGTATTGGAATCTGCTTGTGGACCCAGTGGACTTTCAAACACAGTCATTTTCAACAGAAGGGTGTGGAAGGGGTGCGTGAAGAAATGTTAGTGACAGCTTTCCAATTCTTTTCTCGCCCTATGGATTTTGATAGCCAAGAAGATGTATTGTCAGCTATTAAAAGATGGAAGAGGGTTATATCAGATAGTACTGTTATGGGCATATCATTCACATTTATTTATTTTTAATTGGGGAGTTGGAATTCTAAATGTAGAGTTTAACAAACATAGTTCTTTACCTCATTTATCTTATTTTTATTGATGCACAGAAAGGCCAAACCATGGAACTCTGGTTAGTTCCTACAAGTTCCCCCTGTCAGGGCTGTGCTTTTAATACAGTTTCTTAATACATTATACATTTATGTCATTTATAAAAAATAATTTTAGTAAAGTCCAAAGTCTTCATCAAGTAAGGTCTGAAGAGCACTATTTACTCTTTCTTTTCCTTCCCACACAAGTCAACACAGACAAAAGGCCTTTAACTGCTCTCCATCTGAGTGCAGAAAGCAACAGATGTTTTGGCAAAGTCCTTCCTTTGTGCACCTGAGGTACTCTATTGTCTTTGTTAGTATCTTGGTTTGGCATTCAGATTAGAATAGCTGAAGCAGTCAAGCTACACACTTTGGCAAAGATTCCCTAGTTGTTTATGCTGGGAAGTAGAATGGGCAATTATTATTTTATTATTTTTGCTTTTCTCTAGATTGCATAGAGGAAGCTAACTGCAGAATAGAGGGGTGTTAGGAATTCTGCTGAAGGTCAGGCAGAAAGTTCTTTGGGGTTAGATAGTTGCCCTCTCTACCACAGAATAGTAAAGGGAAAAGGAAATATCCCGTTGCCATATAACAGTATTCTTATTAAACCATATATTAGTTAGTCAGCTTTAACATCCCTTTGCCTGCAAACCATGCTTTCTGCATATCTCAAAGAGAGATTTTATAACTACCTGGCAAACAATATCTTTGTCCTTGTGGTGTTGGTCAAGTGGAGGATGTTATCCACTACGTCCTCCATTGCCCCATTACAATGAGATTGCCCCAAATTACTGATGGTAGGTGAACTCAAGGGCTCCGATCTCAAAAAAATTGAACTATCTTCTTACAGATGTGTTTCCAACTGTCAGCAACCAAGTTGATAGTTTTGCCCTGCTGTCTTTTAAACTTAGAAAGAAATACTTAAGTTCTTAGCCGTAGCCTTGGCTTTATTTTGCTGTAATCTTTTTACATCTAATACTCCTTTTATTATTTTATTTTACCATATTTTACTGTTATTTTATTGTATTTTATGGCACGTTGTATGTTATGACCTGTGGTTACAACAGTGCATTTACTTACTTACCTTGTGGTGATGAGCAGCAAAGTGAGCTTACTTCTTTGCTCTTATTATGTCCCTAGATAGCCAGCCAGCAGCCCTGTTTAGAGCAACCAGGTCCCTTCTGACTTGGGGAACCTTTTCAGGGCAGCTGTGAGGAATATTCTTGGTATCTGTTGGATAAAGTCACTTGGGTTCAATCAGAGTTGAACCCACTTTGAGATTGTTGTTAAAAATTTATTTTTTAAAAATGTGTCCATGAAATCACCATGGTTTGAAGGAGATTTGTGGTGGTGGTGGTGGGGTATGCACATGATACTAACCCAAGAAATATTTGTCTGGATATTCAACTATATAGTAACTTTAGTCCTAAGTTAAAGCATATGGTGAAGAACTTTGGGAAACCAATTAGAAGAAAACAAAAGAAAGAAAGAAATTAAATTCCTCCAGCAGATGGCACTATTATTTGGGAGTTCCAGTAGCTCTTAACTGCAATTCCTGAGCTCCGATTGTCATATGATGTATAATTGTGGCTCACTTGGCTATAAAACATAGAAAGTCAGATTTTACTATTGTTCTTCCTTATTTTGTTAAGTTAATTGAAATAGAAGCTTTCCTGCTTTACCATAAACCTGTCAAATTACAGTTGGAAGTTTTAGGAGTTTTTGAATTCTTTTTCCTTGGAAGTGCTATAGTGTAGACTGAATTTAGAAAATAGAACACATTTGTTGATAAATGTTTAAGCAAACTTTTAATAGAGGACAGAGTTAAAAATGAAGTTGCTGTAGTCTATAATAGCTTGCTTTCATCAGCTAATTCCAAATGTTGATTTTGTATTCAATTTCAGGATAGTATATTTGGAGAAATGTCTATCTGACCTTGAAAGCACAACAGGGCATTATTTGCTAATGTGTTGCTCTTAATTCACCTCTTCCATCTTGATAAGCGATTACACAATTACATTATAATGTGTAATGTGTAAAGATAGGAGGAGTACTACACAGTTAAGTACATCTGCACAGTGATCCAAGAATATATTTGCAGCAATTAATGCATGTTAGATCTTTACATTCTAATAAGTTGCACTGAATATGTGAGGAAAAAAAACTAATTGCATATTTTCTGTTGCTACTGTACAACAATCAAAGGTTAGGTGAAGTTGAGAGTGAACTGAATATGTTATGATTAGTATATCCTGATAAAATGAATATATTTGATACAGTTAATAACTTTTAATCAATAGTTACTGCAGGAGACACAAACTAATTAATAGTTAGTTGATTGTTTTATTTAAGGGATTGTAGAAAGGGAAAAAATGAAGAATACATTAGGGAAGCTCATAAGCCAATAACCCCCTTCCACTGTTGTTTCCCAGCAACTAACCAACGATTGGCCTATTGCAACACGGTATACAACAGGGCTGCCTTTGAAAAGCATTCAGAAGCTTCAGCTAGTCCAAAATGCAGCAACATGTGCAGTATTGGACAAACCATGATACAGCTACGTAACACTTCTGCTGTGTGACCTGACATGCTCACAGTGGGCTTCTGGGTGTAATTAAAGGTGCTGGTTATCACCTTTAAAGCCCTACATAGCATGGGGCCAGGTTACTTGCAGGACCATCACCTGTTCCTAATGGTTTTTGCCCATCCCACTAGAACTAGAAGACTGAACTCCCGTCAGTGAAGCAGTGTCACTTAGTGGGTCCCATAGAAGTGAGCCTTCTCTGTCATGGCACCTGTCTTCTGGAACAGCCTCCTGCTGAGATGTGCAGCCCTGACTCTGTTGGCCTTCTGAAAGGCTGTGAAGACCTGGCTCTTTCCCCAGGCATTGGGGCTGGGATGTTGATTGAGTTCTGGTGTGGATGTGGTTTGTTTATGAGCTGATACTGTGATTTTTAGAAGCCTTGACCCTGTTTCTTTTTAATGGATCTGTATAGGGTTGTTTTTTTTTTAACATTTCTGTTCACTGTTCAGAGTTTTTTGGGTAGATGGACTGCTATATAAATTTGATAAATTAATATATAAATGAACAACCCAGCATATAAGGCATGCTGCCTCTAATTCAGAAAGTAAACAACTATCAATATTAGTTGTGATTGATAGCCTAATCCTCCATTAACTTGTGGAGTCTATTTTGAAAAAGATTGGGTGCCATTACCACAACTATAGGCAATGAATTACAGTTTAATTATGTCCTTTGTGGGAAAAAAAAAATTCTTTAAAAGAAATGTACTTGTTTGCACTGAAAGTTTTTTTTTTCCCCCAGTCTGTTTCAGTCTTTTCTGCTGCACGCATGCTCACGCTCCAAACTAGGTACCTTAGATTGGCCTTGTTTCAAGCTTACTATTCCCTGGAGAAAGCCAATGTTTTGTTGGCTAGTGGATTTTAATTTATGCTCTTTTACTTGGGAGTATCTATCTGTAGATTCAACAACAAATTGATGGCACATAATCAGTTACTTGGGAGTAAGTCAATTGTACACATTCATATAACAATTTTATGTCTATCTGTTCTTCTGTGTTCAATGAGGCTTACTTATTAATAAATGTTTAAAGATACTTATTTCATCTGGATGTAAATGCTGTACACTGATGTGTAGACATATGTCAGAGGCAGGTAAACTGCTGTGCTCTGAAAATGCAAGGATGTAGATAACCTTCACTGGTTAACCTTTGCTTCCAATGGAGCTAAAATAAGTTGAGTTATATTGAAATAAATTCCATGTATCTGTTTTATGTGAATGTGTGCTTATGTTCTATAAATAAATGCAGAAACATAAGGTATTTGCTTGTCTATATGGAAGATTTGTCAAACACATTATAGTGATCATATAAAAGCTAAAAAGTAACCAATGTATTGTAATCTGAAAGTGCCCCTAGACTCATATTAGAAGTAAAGATCTCCAATTCTGATTATCCTGTTATTTGTCCATTTCTTTGTAGATCATGCAGACCAATAGCACCACTGACATACATATGAGCGAATGGCAAAAGAATTACTTTGTTGTTACCTCTGATACCTCTACACCAGGACAAAAAGCAGATGCATATCGTGCACAAATTTTACATATTCAATACGCATGGGCAAACTCAGATATCTCCCAGGATTGTGCTGCCACCCTCTTCAAAAAATATGTAGAAAAATATTCTGCAATTATTGATTCTGACAATGTAGAAAGAGGCTTGAATAACTACGCTAAAGATATTTTGACTATGGCAAAATATCAGCAGAATGAGAGTGACAAATGGCAGTCTGCTTTGACAACAGATAATGTGTTGGAACTGAAATGTATTCAAGCAATGATGCAGGCTGGGAAAATGTATGAGGGGCCTCTGAAGGCACAAGTAGATGTATCCATTGATAAACAGGTCACTGAGTCGGTTTCTTCGAGTTTTCCCAAACTTACCCTGTCAAGTGGTAACGGAGAATCTATGCTTGGAGCTGGTTTATCAAATTGTGTAACTCAAGCAACAGATATCTGTGAGAAGCCCTCAACTTCAAAGTGTCATCAAAATGATATACTCTCCTCACCTAAGGCAGGAGTAGCATGTTCTGTTTTGTCTGTGACTATGAATGATGTGCCCGGTAGAGCCCTGAATGGAAATAATGAATCAACATTTAATAGTTCTCTGACATCCACAAGTACTTCTTGTTCAGGGCAAGATTTATCATTTTCCGCTCAGTCTGCTTTCCCTGCAAGAACGGGCAATCTGGGAAAAAGGAAAACATTTGCTGTGTCCAGTGAAGATAACAGTAATATATCTTCTGGTTCTATTCATAAGTTGGTTTCTATAGAAGGATCAAACATTCCATGGAGTGAAAGGAAAAATAATGAGAAAAGAGCATCTAGTTTCAAAACTGCAAAAGAACAGCTATGGGTGGATCAGCAAAAGAAATTCCAAAACCAACCCCAGCATACCCCATTACCATCTTATGGAGGTACAAAGAAATCTTTGGGAGCTGGAAGATCTCGTGGTCCATTTGGAAAGTTTGTTCCTCCACTGCCCAAACAAGATGGAAATGGGAACACAGGTATGCCATGTAAATCGTATGGGACTGGATCTACAGAGCTGACTAATCCAACAGACGAAAGGTTAAAGAATATAGAACCTAAAATGATAGAACTTATAATGCATGAAATCATGGACCATGGGCCTCCAGTAAACTGGGATGACATAGCTGGAGTTGAGTTTGCAAAAACAACTATCAAGGAAATAGTAGTATGGCCTATGCTGAGACCTGACATTTTCACTGGGTTACGAGGGCCTCCAAAAGGAATTCTTCTGTTTGGTCCTCCTGGAACAGGGAAGACTCTTATTGGCAAATGTATTGCATGCCAATCTGGGGCCACATTTTTCAGCATCAGTGCATCCTCACTGACTTCCAAGTGGGTTGGTGAAGGAGAAAAGATGGTCCGTGCATTGTTTACAGTAGCACGGTTCCAGCAGCCAGCAGTAATTTTCATTGATGAAATTGATTCTCTCTTATCCCAGCGTGGAGATGGAGAACATGAATCTTCCAGAAGAATAAAAACTGAATTCTTGGTCCAGTTAGATGGAGCAACTACTTCTTCTGAAGATCGCATACTAGTTGTAGGTGCAACCAACCGACCGCAAGAGATTGATGAGGCTGCCCGAAGGAGACTGGTGAAGAGGCTCTACATTCCACTTCCCGAGGCTTCTGCTAGAAAGCAGATTGTGTCTCGTCTAATGTCAAAGGAACATTGCTCCCTAACTGAAGAAGAAATTGATCTCATTGTTAAAAAATCAGATGGTTTTTCTGGGGCTGACATGACTCAACTTTGTCGAGAGGCTTCTCTAGGTCCTATCCGCAGCCTTCAGTCTGTTGACATTACAACTATCACACCTGAACAAGTACGATCTATTGCTTTTCAGGATTTTGACAGTGCTTTCAAAACTGTTCGTCCCAGTGTGTCTTCTAAAGATCTAGAATTATATGAAACCTGGAATCAAATGTTTGGGAGTGGAAGATGAGAATAATTCATTCATGTTTATATTCATTTCCGAAATGTTAATGATGTTCTAATAAATTGGAGGAAACTGTTGACTTGCTTTTTTTCCTATGAAGATTGTTTTGCATGAGAGTCTTAGTTACTTATTTTTGCTAGTAGAATTCTATAAAAATCCCCTATGATTGCTCTTTTATGGGTTGGCTTTTTTTAATGCACCTTATTAACATTGAGTTGTGACTCTCCCCCCATCAACTCCGTTGCATCAAAGGAATCCAGGAATTCTTTGTAGAATTTAGTTTACATTCAGGCACAAAAGCTTGTGCAAAGTTTTCAATGCTGGATTATTGCAGTCAGAGGTGGAAATGCTTAAACTGATGTAACTTACTTCCAGAAGCAGTTATCCCCGATGATAGTGATAGAATGAATTGCCTTATCACTGAACTTTTTAGGGGAAAATTGTATTAGTCTTCTGATAAACACTGACACAATTTGGCAAATTAATATTTTTCTCTTTTAGCATATAGTGCCAAAAATATATCAGTTGTTTTTCCTTGCTGGCATATCTTGGCTCACATCAATATAAGCTTGAAACTCTATTGGTAGTAAATAAGCAACTTTTCCTGCATGATGAAGGCAAAAAATGTTCAAAACAATAGACTGTATGCATCTTAATATTAAATGTAGTGGTTAAATTTACAGTTAAATGTATTACATTGACATGATTATTTGAGGTGAATAAGTACTTGTCTCTTAAGATCTTTCTAATCACATTATTAGGATTGTCAGTTTTATAATTTTCTGATTCATATAAAATGCTTTATTTTAAGTATAAAATTTAGAGCGTGTGTGTGTGTAGTAAGTAGTAAGCTTTATTATAATAATTGACCAAAAGTAAAAAGAAAACGAATTCTGAGACATCATGTAAACAGCATGGTAAAACTTAGTAATTTTAAAATTGATTGGTCAAAGTATGGCATATTTTACAAATAGTAAAATGAAACTTAGTCGTGTTCAGAGAAATAAAGACACATGGATCAATAGTAACAATTGTAAATAAAATGGATCCAGGTGGCCTCGAAATCTGGGAGGAGTTACTAGCTGCAGTCAGGCATTGTAATAACGACAGTATAGCAAAACATGGATTAATGTTTCAGGAACTCCTTCACCCCAGGGGCAAAGTCTTTGTTCAAATGGGATGCTCTGTAATTTCCTCTCAAAAACAGTTGTTGGAAGGGTATTTCGTATTGCCAGAATTAAGGTTCTTTTAGGAACCATTGTTTGGCTTAAATATCTAGATGTCTTGAACACAGGTGAGTGACTACCCAAGAATTCATCTTTGGGGATGGCAGCCAGACCTGATTTTACGTAACACAAGAAGAAAGTCTTTCATATCAAAATTATCCTTATCTTCAAATAGCAAATTTATATTTTGTTTTTAATTCTACCTTGCTGGGGTAGGGCAAGGGGAGAAGAACACTTCCAGGATAGAACAGTTGCATTAGTGTTACTCATTTGTAGCAAACTATGATTAAAAAGTCCATGTGTTTTAGCATTTACTCTTTACTCTTATTGAAATTATCTTTTTCTGTTTCTAAGGTTTTGTCCTTGGGTAGTATATTTTCTAGCTCTCGTGTCTTGTTAATGTGTCTATTTCAAAAGTATATATTGTTCCATTAACACTACTGTATTCCTTAATAAATGCTTAGGAATACAGTACAGTAAAAAAACTGCAATCTGAACACTTGTACAATGCATGTATGGGAAATCTTTTAAAAAATCATTGTACCATCTTTTAGAAATAATACATTTATTGCATTATGTTTGAATTAAGTTAAAATTAAGCTTTTGGGGGGGTAGTTTAGAAGTGCTACACTTTTCAGAGTTCACTTGATGGCTTTTAAACTTAAACTCTTAATTGGCTGTTGGAGTAATGTTTTGCTCTTGTTAAGAAGTAACATTTTAAATCAAGGAAGAAGCAGTACAAGAAAAAGTGCAAGACACAACCAAGACATGAACTAACTGCACATGCATCTCAGTAATAAGAAATGGATGAATTATCTGGATATTCTGAACAGTTGCAAGTTCTTACGATTTTAGCAGCAAAAGACTTTTAAAGAAAAGATAATCAATAAGGACTCCCCAAAACGTGCACCACTGGTGATAGGAGCAGTTAAAAGTTTAAAAAAACGGGGGGGGGGAGAAAAAAAATATACACTGGGGGGAAAAAAGACCACACCTCACCATCCAAGAGCTTCAATCATTAATTTAATGAGGTATTAAACTACTTAGGTAATGCCAGAGAGTCCATCACACTGCTCAAGTCTCCCCCTTAGTATTCTATACATGGTTTTGAATTTGAACTCCCCCAAGCACTGGGATTGAGTGAGATTGGTATGGGACAAATGTGTAGTGGACTGTATTGGGAAGTTTAGCTGTGGTGCTGGGGTTTTTTTTGTTTTGTTTTGTTTTACTGTTTTGTTTTTTCATGGTTTATATATATTGTTTTTCGTTTTGGGTTGTGAGCTGCCTGGAGTTTGGTTTAAGATGGATGGCCATGTAAATGTTTTAAATAAATAAATTTGTAACACTGTATATTGCCTGTAACAACCTTAAAGGCAATAGAAAGGCCATCAAATTTGCAAAATGCTTTGATTTGCTGCTTCAAATCATCCTTGCTTCAGTTCACAAATCTCAATATGGTGATTTTGACTGAATATTTGTTGAACTGACACACTCCTTTAAAGCTTTGCATAACTCTGCAAAGTTAGCAAGTTCTTGAGGCTTCTTGAAATCTTTTTTGTAATGTTCATCTTGGCTTGGATCTTTTTTCTCTTTTTTCTCTTTTTTCTCTTTTGCTTAAGAGAAACCCTTGAAAAATGGAACATGGTACACCAGTGATCTTCCATAGGCAAGGCACAGTGACTCACCCATTGGGCATCTAACATGTCTCTGCTTGAATTATTTATTGAATTCATTATACTATCTTGTGAACTATTTCCTACTCATGGGTTTCAGATGAATTGTCAGCATGGTGTTCCCTTTTCCTCCTTCAGTAATAAGTTCCTCTTTCTCAAATATAATTGCTTATATCATGTCCAGCATATAGCCAGGCATTGAATGTACTAATACAGCCATTCAGTATCTGGTATTGTGTCTCTGGTTGTTTCCCATTGCTGTTTGCTTGAGAAGGCTTAGATATAACTTTCTTTTCTTTTTCTGGTGCCTTTGAGTCAGTCTTGACTCCTGGCGACTGCCTGGGCAAGTCCCTGCAGTTTTCTTGGCATGATTTTGGAATTGCTTCCTAGGGCTGAGTGAGAGTGACTGGCCCAAGGTCACCCAGCTGGCTTCATTGGCAAGGTGGGACTAGATCTCACAGTCTCCCAGTTTCTAGCGTGATGCCTTAACCACTACGCCAAACTGGCTCTCTTACCTATAACTGCAGAAGTTTATGTTTTCTGTCCCAGAAGTTATGATACAGCTTATTTTCTCTAGTTAGATAGAAGTCACTCAAACCCCATACACATTGACTGGGTGATCAAGTAACTATTTAAACATATCTGCTATTATTGTTGTTGCCAGTTCAATACCAGGATGTCTCAGTATGAAAGCTAATCTGCCTGATCAAATTGGTAGCATATTTATGATATGACATGAATGAATCTGTTCAATGAGTATCAGGTTCATGTAGCTGCTTCATGTACATGCCAAAACTGGAGGGACATGTCCATGCAGTCACCAGGAGTCAACACTGATTCAAAGGCACCAAAAAAACAAAAACTTGTTCTACATTGGGTTGCCTTTGAAAAGTAACTGGAAGTTGCAATTGGTGCAAAGTATAGTCACTTGAAGTTTAAAACCTAAATGAGATAACTTTGAGTCAGTGTGGTGTAGTGGTTAAGGTGTTGAACTGGGAGCAGGGAGACAGATTCTACTCCACCCTCAGCCACAGAAGCTCATTGGGTGATTTTGGACGAGTCACTCCTTCTCAGCCCAACCTGACTCGGGATTGTTGTGATGGTCAGAAATTGGAGGAGGGAGCTCTATGTACACCACCTTGAGCTCATGGGCTATAAACCTAATAGATAAATAAATAATCTGATGGATCATCTTTCCAACTATTAAGAGTTGAAGAAGTCCTTTTGAAGAAGACCCTTCTGTCAGAGGCTTGTTTATGTTTCATTTTGCCCCCTTTCTGAGCATATACAAAACTGCAAGTTTCTCTACAGGCTTTTCTGAGTTGTATTTACTTTTTAATCTTTTATATTATGACACTGTTAGCCACTGAGTGCTCATTTGTGCAGAAAAGGGGTCATAAATTGAAAAATAATAAACAACCATAAGTGTTTAGGTTGTCATTGATGCCTATTCCGTTTTTGATTTAGTATTGTGCTAAGGTAGTCGACGGAGAGTGAAGTACTATGATTTTCATGAGTGGTTTAGATTAAACACGTGCATATTTTAGCATATTTTGTACAAATTCATTACTTATGGGGAAGGTCAGAAAGCCCTGCATATTTCTACTGTAATAGTCCCCCATTGACCTTCATTGTTTCCCATTTCCTCATTAATCTATATGTTTTAACTCCATTAACATTCTTATTTAAATTAATTTTACAGTTTTAAAGCCCCATTTTGATACTTTTTCAAAGTCAGATGATTGCAGTTGTCATACAACTAAAGTCCAGAGACAGATTGATAGGAAATGGAAAGCTAGTAAGATTTTTTTGCAAGGGTAGCTTGAAGAAATCTTGAAAAGCTGTATGATTATTAGATATTTGATTGATGACACAAAGTGGTTCTGCCTGAAATATCTGGCTTATTTAGGGATCTCAGAGTAGGTTCAGGAATGAGATTAATGAATGCACTGAAGGAATGTATTACTTGTTAATTTGCTTTGTGTCTAAGGAGATCCTGAAGAAAGGGAGTGAAGTTGAAATACTGACTGTAAGCTTGACTCCCCATAAATGAATTAGAGTCACTTTATGTAAAATAGGTGGCTATATACATATGCTAAATAAATAAATAGATTTCCAATGACAAAACCTCAGGAAAGGAGAGTATTACTCATACTGCAAACCTTGTACACCACTGCCTTATTCAAAATTAGGCTTTGGTCTATTTATCTCATAATTGTCTACTCCAGTCTTTCCTAATCTGATGCTGGATTGTGGGAATTGTAGAAGGCACTAGGTTTGGGAAGATACAAACTGACATCCTTATGTGCAGAATAGGCCAAAAGAGTGAAAATGCTAGATCAGTTGTGTACTGATTAAATTAATAGGTGGATAAATTATGACTTACACTACTGCCAAATCAAATATGGCCTAAAATAAGCCAACTAATGTCTGTGCAATGCAGATTTTAACAATAGAAAGTGTCCCTGGTCTTGGTCAATTTTTCCTATTATACCAGCACACAAATTTTGAATGAAGGTACCTGGCTTACACCTTACCAAAAATGTGTGTTTTGCCTCTGAATTGTGCACCTACACTTGTCTGTTTCAAGGCATTGAAACTGGAATTGAGTTGCCCCCTTTTGCTCTGGACATGTGTGCTGTACTGTGTATCATTTCTGGAAAATGATGCTGTTTTTTGCACTGAATGTATTACTGGAAAGTATGTATATTGGTTTATTTGCTTGCTTGTACATTTGTTATATTTATACCCCACCTTTACTTCTGGAGTTCAAGGTGGTGTTCATGATGTTCCTTCTCCCACAACAACCTATGAGATTAGTTGGTCTG